AGGAAGGAAGGAAGGAAGGAAGGAAGGAAGGAAGGAAGGAAGGAAGGAAGGAAGGAAGGAAGGAAGGGTCTAATGCTAAACCAGTGCAACAAACTTTCTAATTGTTCTTTAATCTTATTCTTTTCTTCAAAAGTTCCTCTCGGTCTGTCACCTTCTGGATGTGTTGTACTTCAACACCCAGAATTCTCTATTCACAGTTCTGGGAGTCCAAGCCTCTTGCTCCATCCACCAGGAATGGCTGCAAGATATTGAGATGATATAACAAATAAAAATAACTGAAGAAAAAATGGAAAATCTTGAAAAAAAATGAGGCCAAAAATGCCAAGACTGAGACTTCCCTAGTCATGTGCCAAATTCCAGAAAACTGTCCCATTGACCAAAATTGCTTAAATATCCTGCCTATGGAGTATTTTTAGCCTTATAATTTGTCCAGATATGCATAATTTTCAACCTGTGAGGCAAAGATCCGACAACAGAAAATGCCATCCAAGTTTAGTATCAGTAGTTTGAATTTAAATTCTTTTCTTTTCTTCCCTCAGCTTCAGCTTTTTCAGAAAGATACTTGGGATTGCAAGGGTTCGACAATAATAAGATATATGAGGTAAATCAGGTTAACTGTGATTTATTTACTTAGTTATTTAATAAACATTAATTTATTAAGCGTAATGCTATTTGCAAGTAGACAAGGGGGATGGCAGTAGTTAGAATGTATTCTTTATTTATTTATTTTGTAAGCTTTTCTTCAGATCAAATATATTCTACATTCTACAATTATCAATATTTGATCTGCAGAAAAACAGGATCTTGATTTCATTTTTGATTATTTGAGGTGTTAAAATATACATCAAGAAACAAATGACAAAAAACTATAGTAAATTAATTTATTGCAGTCATTAACCAGCTCTCTTTGTTTGTGCCTTCCGCTTCGTTTAAGATGCAACATCCTAAAGTGCAAAATCACAACGGATTGAAATCATGACAACAAAAAAATAGTAATATTAAAAGTATAACATTAAGAAAGGGGTTTCCAAATGTTTCTTTTTAAAAAAAAAATCTTTATTTTTCCTGATATAATTTATTTATTCATTTAAAGACAAGAATAAATATTTTCATAAAAAAGATGATACTAAAAGCATCAAAAGGGGGATTAGAATAGAAAGAGAATAGAGTAAAGTAGCATAGAGGAGAACAGAACAGAGTAGAACTGAATAGAACAGAAACAGAGTAGAACAGAACCGAATAGACCAGAACAGAGTACAGTATAGTACAGTACAATAAATAATTTTATCTTAATAACAATTTAATAGTTTCATAAAATATATCCTGCTTTCTATAAATATCACAGAGGTGGTATACAGATCAGAAAAAAAGGAGTAGTACAGTAAAGCACAGTAGTACAGAAAACAAAATGCACAATAATACTCTTTAAAGCTAATTCTTATGCAAGACAGTCTTAAGTGCTATGTTGATTGTGGTGAATTTTAAAGTGTCTGTAATATTGAAAATTATTTCTTTCACCCTTCTCAGATTACTAAACTCTCTCACCGAGTAACATCATTGAAGGACCAAAATTTTTTGATCATCCATGCAACAGCTGATGGTAAGTTTATATGAACCAAGCCTACAGACAGTCCCTGCTCAAATAAAGAGAAATAAAAGCTTTATTTTAGTCACAATAAATATTTTTGTTTTGGGTTGGGTTATTTGGTAGTTCAGTTATTTACTTCCTGGAACTTAATTACCTTAATCTATTTTACAGAGAAAATTCACTTCCAGCACACTGCAGAGTTCATTACTCATCTAATTAGGACAAAAGCTAATTACAGTTTGCAGGTACCGTGCTGTCACATAATCATTTTTTAAAAAACAAATGTTTTTTCCCCTCTCTTTCTCTCTCTCCCTCTCTCTCTTTCTCTCCCTCTCTCTCTCTCGCTCTCTTCCTCTGTGGGCATGTGTTTATATATGCATGTATCTATGCATGTATGTTGTTTATAGTTTACAGGATTTTAAAGCCAGTTTGGTCTAGGGTTAGTAGTAATACTAACTACTAGACCAGCTGGCCTAGTAATAAAGGCACAATAAAAATTAAATTTAAAAATATATATTTTGCTTGAATATAGCCTCCATGCAGTTGAATATGTCAAAATGAAGTTTGTACTATGCCCTCTTGGTGCTTTTTAACCTCTTTTCCCATGGATCATGGTTTTCTCTAATTATTTTAGAGAATTTGTCCAAACTATAGTACTAAGTACTGGAAATTTCATCATATGCTTTTATTAGATTAGAAGAAAACAACATAAAGAATTTAGCATGTTAAATTTTGTTTTTTGGGAGGGGAGGGGGAAGGATTATTTATTTAAATAACACATTCAAAACACAATTTATTAATAAGAAATGTGTTACAAATTGCCCATTTTTAACATTTTTCAGAATACAAAGTATATAAAATATTCGCATGCCCCCCCCCCCAAAAAAAATAGAAAAAGGAAGCAAAAGCAAGATGATTTTAAAAAGATCTTGGGCTACTCCAATCGTCATAAATATGAGCCAGGCCCCAATTCTCTGAATTTTGATGGCTTGGCCACAAAGATGCTGCGAGAGTCGTGTGAAAAACAGTCATAATTTTTCACCACTGTAACCTCAAACTGTCACTAAATGAAAGGTAGTAAGTTGAAAACTACTTGTATATAAACCTGCCTTGCTCTACATATCCCATCCCAAGTCATAGTTGTGAATAATTGATGATCTTCAACTTTGATCAGGGACAGATGAAAACCCAAAAAAATCCAAGTTGTGGGTGTTCTGTCGTGGAACAAAGACAGACTTGAGACCGGAGTTGAATTCAGCTCTTTATTAACTGTCAGTAACTTCAACTAAACTCGAGCCGCGGCAGCCTCTTTTATAGTGGCTGCTTACGGCTCGTGGCCAATGGCATCATTTTAAACCTCCCACCGTTTGGCGGACCAATCGCAACAGTTGTTAACCACCAATCACTAGGCGGCAGTGGTAGTCCAATCAGAACGTAGTATTACGAGTATGCAAATGTCTATATACAACAGTGGACCTCTGCTATGTTATTGAATTCACACCATTGCTACCGGGTCAGCCAAACCGATAGTAAAAAAAAGCCTCCAACAAACAGCTGAGAGGAGAAAGAAGAGGAAAGCGCAGGATCGGCTCTCCCACCACCACCCTCTGCACTTTTCTCTTCTTTATCCTGGCGCTGCAGGCCTCAGCTGATGTGTGGAAAGCTGTGCGCATGCACGTTAGGTCCGTGTTAGGTGCATGTGCGTTAGGTGCACGCACGAACAATCACCAAACCGGTAATGGAACAGGTAGGATCCCACTTCTGACTCCCACCCCTTTTAATTATCCATGTGGCATGTAAACAAGAGGCAGTTCACTCACGCAGTTGTGGCAGCCATTTTGTTTCTTGGGGGATACACTCTGGCTTTGAAGAAATCCCTCCACCTCAAAGATGTGAGACCCATCTCAACCATAACTTTTTCCTTGGCAGATCTACCCCGACGAAGGTCACTACTTCAACAGCCCAACCCTGGAGCAGCACTTGTATAAGTCCCTTGTCAATTTCTTTGTGGAATGTTTCAAAATGCCGGACAAAATGCCAGTGGTTTCCACGAAAGAAGACGAGGATGAAGATTAACTTTCTGGGCTTGTGCTAAGAAGCACAAGGCGACTTCTCAAAAAAAAGATATGCAACTAAATCCTCCCGATTTCCCTTCCCTGATGAAAGGAGCGTTATGTGAGCATGTATTTAAGAAAAGCAAAAATGGATTAACAGTCCTGGTGCTGGTATCGGAGCTCCTGCCTTTTCCAAACAGAAAAATATTTAAGCATGAGGAACTCAGCAGACGCTGCTGTTGAGAACCGATCCCTATGAACAAAATGGCCACCGTGCAATTTCTGGTTGAAGAGGCTCGACTGGGAAACCGAACTCTGAAGGCAAATTCGCCCAGATGCCCACAAAGCAACCCTTTGCATTGACCAAATGCAAGTCCCAGAAATGAGTATAAAGCCCACCCTCTGTCTGTGTTAGGGGTCCCTTATTTAGCATCTCATTGTTTCCTATAAAATGAACCATCCACGGAATAAAGATTATAGCACAATTATTTTTCGAGGGTACCGAATTGTGTGTTGTTTACCTGTCGTCTTCTGCATTTCTAAGAAATTAGGCGTTGCTACGGAACTCCTCAGTTATACAGGCGTTTTCTTTGTATAAAACACTGCTGTAGCTTGACTAACCTCACACTGTACAGGCATTTCTCTCTATATAGTTTTTTTTTAGCTGTCGCTCCCTTTCACTTCAGCCTTGCTCACTACTAAAACTTTGTTGCTGCAGTGTGCTCTGGCTTTAAGAAAGCCCCTTTAAAGCCTAGAGAGCCACAGGAGTTCCACTTTACGATTTTTTTTTTTAGATATTCTGGAACTCTTCCCGTCTGTTTCTTTAATGCTCCAACAGCAATTTAGCTTTATGGATTTGTATTGTCCAATATTAACCAATATTTTGTCTTATGCTTTTTAAAAAAAGTCCTTCATTAGAGGGACAAGGTTAGCTGCATGACGGTTGTCATCCTACAATATCCCCAAATTGCTAGTTCCTATTGTTGCGGGTTGGCAGGATTGGGAATATGTGAGAAGTTACTCTCAAAAGATCATGTCTTAATTGTGCTTGCAGTGTCTTGTATCAGCAAGTGAACAGCTTTCCTGGAAATGGAAATTGCTTCTCTTGAATTGCTCCTCTTGCTTTTATCAATAGCTACAGCTTCTGTCATTTATACCGTTACCTTCATAATATTACCCAGCTTTTAATTAGTCCTAACAGACTGCCTTATCTGTATGTTGTGTTAATGTAATGATAAAAATCTGGGTTGAGGCATTGCAAGTTTGCCTTTTTTGTTTTTCCCCTTTGACTCCCCCCCCCCCTGGAAATTTGAACACAGTCATTTCTTTCTTAGAGTTCAGAGAAGACAAGATTAAAACAGTTCAAAACTACCCCAATCCATATTTTTATTCCTTTAATTCCTCTTTTCCTCCTCCTTCTCTTTTCTTTTGCTCTGCTACTGTTCCCCCCTGTAAATTATTCCAACCCAACGTACAACTAATATGAATATTGTATACTTCATTTTGTTGTGTATAAAAGGAATGTAAAGTTAAAGATTTGTCAAGTTCCTTTCTGGTCCGGCATCTTGGACTATTCTTACTCTTAACGTTTTGTGTTCTACGTGCATGTAAAAACTCTTGTTTGCTTATTAAGGCCCCTTAGAGGTGTTCATTCAGACTAAATTAAACCTTTTCTACTGTTTTTGACAGCTTGAATGTCAGTGCAGGTTTTCTGCATTTTTACATATATTGTTGAGAAAACACACATCCGAAACAGCAGGAGAATTGGTGATGTTACTTCACCCGGATTTTTTTTTCTGCCTCTGCTTTATTTTAGGTTGAGATTGTTAGCTGTTGGTAGCAATTAGATCCTGGTGGAAGATATACCAGTAAACCAAACCCCAAGGCAAGGGGGGAAATCGGGAATCTTGGTGAATTTCCCCCCATTTTCATAGTTTACTCTGCATCAAGAGTCCTATAGAAAGCTACCGCAGAATAATCCACTCCTTCAGCCAAATGCCAAATAGACCATGTGAATGGTACGGGTCCAGGTTTCAATAATCTTATAGGCCAGGATGCCTGAGCTGATCCTGCTCCAGAGGAGGTAATCCCTTGCTCTGTTTATAAAAATTTTGTATAGAAGAAGCCTGGTGTGGCACAATAATGTTTGTTGATCCATGAAATAAAGCATTATTTTACCTTCTGAGTTGTTGTGGTTATTCTTTCTTAACTATTAGGTGACTGTAAAAGTAGGTGTAATCTAATGCAGGGGTCCCCAACCACCGAGCTGCAGACTGGTACTAGTCCGTGGAACATTTCTTACCGGGCCGCCGGTTTGCTCGGCACCGCCATCTTGTTTGACGAGAAAGTGCTTCCGGGTGAGCTTTTCCGGTTGGAAAGCGGCGTTTGGGTCCTGAAGGAATCCTCGCGCCTTAGTTTCATCGAAGGGGGAGGGCTTCGAACGAAACTAAGGCGCGAGGATTCTTTCAGCACCCAAGGCAAGGCGAGCCGAGCGACCATCCCGAAGCCGTCCCGAAGCGAAGCCCATCGACAAAGGTACAAAGGAGGAGTTGAAGGTGGCAGGGAGAAGCGGGGGACGGCTGGCTGGCCGGTCGCTTGGCTCGCCTTGCCTTGTCATGCGTGCTGATGCCGGTACCGGGCTGCGGATCATTTTGTGATGCCGGTACCGGGCCGCGGCACAAAAAAGGTTGGGGGCCACTGATCTAATGCATGGTCTCTGAAGTTCATTGTGATCTTCAGGAGATTCTCTGTTAAGGAAAGTTGCTCAGCCCGACCTTTTTCTTCTTCCCTCCTTTCTCTGAATGAAAATGGTTTGAATCAGTGGGGGAGGGGGCTGAATATGATTAACATAATCAAGGGGTGGGCCTTCAATCATTGCCTGAAAGGAGTCATGCCATCTCCACATGACCTCTGAGCGGGAGATGCCTCTTTCAAAAAGGCAGGTGTTTTTTTCAACTGACCTCCCAATTCTGTTAACTAGGTCCATGTTCCCAAAGTAAATGTACTGGCCATTCCAAAGCAAAGCTTGGGAAAGACTGAGATACATATGGATTTGCACGGGTAAATGATCCAATACACATTTTTAAAACGTTATTCTTTAAAATAGATTATAGATAGAGATAGATTAGAGAGAGAGAGAGAGAGATGATAGAGATAGATAAGATAATAGATAAATAGATAGGTAGGTAGGTAGGTAGATAGATAGATAGATAGACAGACAGACAGACAGACAGACAGACAGACAGACAGACAGACAGACAAGATAGATAAATGGATGGATGGATGGATGGATGGATGGATGGATGGAT